GCATAGCAGTAGCACATGCCTATAAAACCAGTTACATGGGAGGTATAGTTTGGTCTTGCTTCCTGCATATTTAAAAATTACTCCCAGTGATGAAGAGTAAGGAAATGTGCTTGGTATTTGTGGTTAATCACAAATATATATACATGTATATATGTATATATAAACTTTGTTTGCTCTTTCTGTATTGAACAGAACAAATATTTGTCCAAATAGTTCATTTGTAACACCATCCTTCCTTTTCAAAGAAGGGCCTCAAAGAACATACTAGTTTCTTCAGACTTGCAGAGCAGTTTATCTAACTGAACCAACCTATGAAAATATCTACAGGGTTCAGAGGAAACTAAGAAGGTAATTCCTAGTTCTTGATAATAAGGATCTACTGAGAATCATTATTCAGGCAAAAAAAATTACAATGAAATATACTAACCAAGTAGCAGACTAATAGATTAAGAAATTCAATCGGCTTCAAGACTGGTAGACCAATGCTTTGTCTGAAGTAATAGGTCTTTGCTATTTTCTATTGCTACTGAATCAACAGGCAACTGAAAATGATAGTGCTGATATTTAAGATTTGCTTTAAAAAAAAATGGGGAAAGCATAAATGAAATCATGAATAAAGTATTTACTGAAACTAGTTGCCGATGGATACATGGAAGTCCACTATAACTGTCTACTTTTGTCTATGTTTGAAAATTCTGATTAAATACTAAGAAAGACTGATTCTGCATTACATAGTAAAAGTGAAAAGTATAAATTAGTATTTCACCTCAAACACTGGACATCAACACTACAATCCATCATAGCTAATGCACCTAACTCATACTTAACCATTAATCCACGTAATAGGTCAACCTCAACTAGAGACAAAGACTAAAACAGAACAAGAGTCTGAAATACCTATCTCCTTATCTCCTGGTGGTCACCATTAAAAAAATATCACCTACAGAAGCCTGAAGTAAAAAAAGAGGAAAAAAAAAGGAAAAAGAAAAAAGACTGAAGTAAATTATTTTAAGCATATTAAATGAATGACTATAGGATTATTTAGAATGACAGAAAGGGTTCTTTTCAAGGGCACAGGTCAACCTAAAGTTGAATAGTTTAGACTATCTATGCTCCTATTTGCTAACAATGCTTCAAACAGTTCTGGACTTGCTTTTTAAAGTTTAGTAAGTCAAGTCTGAATTATTCACTGGGAAGCTTTTAATTTCCTAGCCACCAAATGCAACCCTTTGGGTTTAGCTTTTTTTTTTTTTTTTTTTTTTTTTCCCAGGACTGGGGCCTGAACTCAGGGCCTTCACCTTGAACCACTCCATCTGCCCCTTTGTTTTGTGTGTTAAGTATTTTTGAGATAGGGTCTTGAGAACTATTTGCCCAGGATGGCTTTAAATCATGACCCTCCTGATCTCTGCCTCCTGAGTAGCTAGCATTAGTCATGAGCAACCGGCGCCTGGCAGCTTTAGTTACTTTTAAAACAGTGTTTTTACTAGGGCTGGCTTGGACCAAGATTCTTCTATGTATGTTACCCAAGTAGCTGGGATGACAGGCACACCCCATCACACCCAGCTTATTGAAAGAGATGGGGGTCTTAACTTTCTGTGTGATCACCTCGAGCCACAAATCTCCCAATCTCTGCCTCCTGAGTAGCTGACATAACACGCATGAGTCACTGTGCCTGGTTTTATATATATATATATATATATATATATATATATATATATATATATATATATTTTTTTTTTTTTTTTAAACAGACTGCGAAAAACAAAATACAATAAATCTGCTTAAAAAAAGGACATGATACACTTCAAAATCAAACCTGGTAAAACTTGGGTTTTGTCAACTATGGGAATTGGTTGCCATACAAACTTTTAAAAGAGAGGGCATGAAGGTGTGGCTAAAACTACACTGTAATGGGGTTCACAGAAAAATTAGTAGTCATTTCTGAATTTTGAAGAAAATACATAATGACAGTATACATTTCCATGTCTTAAAATTTTAATTTCAAGCTTCTGCCACCTTCTTTGTTTTGGGTTTAGGCATTCTATAAATTATTAGTATTGTATCTTTTACCCAGGTCATTAGAACCTAGATGGAAAGATTTCTACCAAAAGTAAAGTGTGGGTCGGGGATGGGTGGGGGAGAAGGGAAATGACAACACCTTAGTTTTTTTATTTTGCCCTAAATCCAAAAGGGGTGTTGTCTACTGTCTGCAGAGTAAACAGAAAAGGGAGAAATCAAGTATAGCAAAAGGAAAAAAGTAGTGGGACTAGAAGAAGAAATCATTCTAGACGAACAGTCAGGTGGCAGTGGTTCAAACCTGTACTCCTAGCTACTTGAGATGTAATCAAGGCTTAAGGTCAGCCTGGGCAAATAGTTTTCAAAACCCCATCTCCAAAATAACCAGAGCGAAATGGACTGAAGGAGTGGCTCAAATGATAAGAGTGCCTGCTTTGCAAGCACAAAGTACTGAGTTCAATCCCAGTCCCAACCAAAACAAGCCAAAATATTCACAGTGAGGCATGGTGGTACAGAACTATAATCCCACCACTAGGGAGGCTGAGGCAAGAGAGTCAAGTTCGAGGCAGTTTACACAGAGAATTCAAGCCCAGCCTGAGCTACGTATGATTATCTGTTCTACTTTTTACTCCTGATTAATGTATTATCTTATGAATTAATTATGCCAGATTAATGAAAGGTAAAATGCTACAGGCCATATCCACAAAACTGAGTATTTAAAAATACTATACTAATTATCACTTATGAGCACAACATTTACAACTCATACACTCTCTGGGCATAACAATACATACCTGTAATCCCAGCACTCAGGAGGCAGAGGCCAAAGGATCAAGAATTCCAGCCACCGGCTGGTAGAGTGGCTCAAGTGGTAGAACACTTGCCTAGCAAGCATGAAGCCCAGAGTTCAAACCCCAGTACTGCAAAAGGAATGCCAGGCCAGAACCAGGGTCAAGGTCAAATTGTAAGAGTGCCTGCCTCAAGCTTAAGATGCTCAGTCCAGGGGCTGGTGGAGGAGTGCCTCAAGTGGTAAAGCATCTGCCTAACAAGCATGAGGCCCTGAGTTCAAACCGTGTCTCACACACACACACACACACACACACACACACACACACACACACACACACACACACACGTAAGCTCTTCAGTTCAAAAACCCCAGTACCACCATCAAAAAAAAAAAAAAAAGCAACAGAAAACATGTTGGACAAGACTAGAGGTCAAAAAATTTGAGATTGAAAATGGCAAAATGTTACTGATTGCTAAAGCTGAGCGGTAACTATTAGGTCCTTGATTAGCCACTATACAATTCTAGCTCTGCTTAGAAAGGTTTGAAATGTCGTGATAAAATACATGCACACATAGCAAATATTTAAAAAAAAAACTTGAGAAGCTAGATGTGTTTGTGCTCAACTATCATACCAGCACCAGGGAGGCAGACGCAGGAGGATCACCAGCCTGGGCTACCTAGCAAGATCCTGTCTGGAGGATGAGGGTAGTTACAATTTTTATTTATTAGGATGTTGGGTTTTGAACCTAGAGTCTCACACATGTTACCACTGAGCTGGTGTGTACCAACCTTAAGTTTATTTTGAGAAAGGTTCTCACTAAGCTACCCAGGCTAGCCTGGAACTTGTGTTAGCCTGCTCCTGCTTCAACCTCCCAAACTGCTGCCATTACAGGTGTACACCACTACACCTGGCATAGGCTGTTTTTTAACATAGTATGGTTTCAACTGTGTTCCTACAAGAAAATGACAAGAGGTGTTTCCTACTGCTGTACCTTGATACTTTTCTGTTTGGAGTATGTCCTTAATTTAACTTTTCTTATCAAAGAAAAAAAATCACTCATTTTGACATCATTAGCTAAGGGAATTTCACTGCTTTTAAAAAGGCAAACTGGCAATTTTTTCTTCATTTCAGTCATTTGTGAGAAATGACAAAGTCAGCTCAAGGTACAGTCCCTACTATGTCTCCACAACAAGAAATCCATCTGTGAAGGGAAGCTACTGGTAAAATCATTTCAACCAAACCCAAACTCAGGAATCAAATCCCCCTTTCCATTTAAATAGTTCCATCATTAAATAGTTTTAGTTTTTTTGAGTCTTTTTTAGCAGTACTGGGGTTTGAACTGGGCCTAGTGGTTGCTAAGAAGGTGTGATACTGTTAAGACATGCCTCCAGCTCCCATCATCACGTATTTTACCTTTTAAATTAAAACAATGATACCATAGGATCAAACAGCATCTCTGCAGACAGATTATAAGTGAGCTTTGTATCATTAAGAGCCAACAATACAGATGAATTTTAAGTAACAACTCTACTCTCACACTAAGCCATATAGCTTAGTATTAGATTTAGGTATTTAGTGATACATTTTCCTCACTGATTCCACAAATATTAACAAAAATGTGTACTATTCTGAGTCAAAACCTATTCTGTTTAGCAACAAAGGAAACTATCAGTTATACTGGGTTGGAGGCTTAGCTCAAGAGGTAGAGTATCTATCTAGCAAGTGCAAGGCCCTGACTTTAAACCCCAGGATCATCCCTTCCCCCAAAATCAGTTACATTATTTCTAAACTCAAAGTGCTAATGCTATACATAGTATTGTTAACTACTTTTATTCCAAGTAAGTACTTTAAAAAACCTACTCTAGGGCTGGAGGCGTAGCTCAAGTTAGAGCACCTATGGAGCAAACACGAGGCCCTTAGTTGAAACCCCAGTTTACCGCACCCCCTCAAGAAAAAACAACCTGCTCTGAACAGAGGGAAAAAAATTATGAAACAAAACATCAACAGCTTCTATGAGGACACCCATTATTGTACATCTAAATCATTAGTTGGAATAACTGTAAAGGATTTAACTCTCTCTTCAGTGTTTAAAAGCATCATTGCCTAATAATTTGACAGAAACTTAAGACTTTATTGAGTAGATCATTTTTGTAATGTACCACTAATCAAGTAAGAAATTTAAAAAATACGTACAGTTCCAGAAAGGACATCATGGGGGCAACAGTTGAGAAGGTGACTCTTGCATACTCTGTCATCACTGAATTTGATTCGTTGACGAGTAGTATCTCCTGTAATATAGAAAAGTTAATAACATTCAAGGTTAGACAACAGTAAAGTATTTATTTATTTTCTGAAACCCCTAATGTCACTAGTTTTTTATGTGTGGCTGTACACACACACATTTATAAATCAGCCCAAGAGGGATTAGTTTTTTTATAACATCCTATAGAAAACTATTTTAGATAACATGCAGCTGCAGTATGTGTACTGCACATGTAACTCAAATAGTCAAAGTGGGAAAGCAATGCATTTTGTTAAATAGGAGTACTTCAGAAAAGCACAGGATTTTAGAGCAGGAATGGACTCTAAAGATTATCAAGTCCAACTCCTTCACATTGCAGATGAGGAAACTGAGGCCCCCAGAGGTTAAGCGACTTGCAGCAGACCCACTAAGAGAGTTTCTATGGGTATACAATGTTCCCTTCTTGACAGTAAACACTGATTTATTTTGCAATTATATACATTAATTGAGAAATATAAAAAGTAATCTTGCAAACATTGCATACACACTGCGAATCCCCACTGAACCCCAGACGCCATTTCTTCCACTATTTTGTTCCAGCTGAAGTGTCTCCCTTTTGCTGCTGGGAGGGGTTAGAGAGGGTAGAGTAATGCATTGAAAAGCGTACAAACCTGGAAGAAGGACTCACACACCAGTCAAACAAAGGCACACTGCCTAAATGAAATGTTAACTTTAATGCCTCCAACGCTTCCACACCTCCAAGTCTTATGTGATCTATGCTATATTGCCAAACTGGATACATTTAAATTTACTCTGTCCTTATATATAAAACAATACAGCTCCTAAGCAACATCCTAAGAAGCATCCAATCTGCTTATCAAATATGGCTATTTACTCAAAACTTTAAAGAATCTAAGAAAAAGAAAGGTAACTAGCTCTAGTTACAAATGTTAGTTACAATTTTTTTTTTTTGCTTAGAATCTCTTTGGAGAAACAAAAAGAAAAGACTCTTAAGAATGTCTCCTCTTTCTATATAGAATGACAAGCCCTAAGGAATGTAGGTGTTTTAACTTTCAGCCTTAAATGGATATCATCACTGATGAATGAAAACCTACTGGTGAATTACTGAAGCAAAAACTGTTGAAGCAAGCCAAAAGAGATTTTGGAGTGCCTGGAGCACTCCAAAAACTTATGTAGGAAGTGGTTCAATCACTTAATTTCTTTACTTTCACTTGTTAATAACCAAAAAGGCTAAAAACTTTACCCCTTCAAACTTAAATTCAACTAAACACTGTACGGTGAGATTTTGTTCAAATTGTTTTAACACTGTAACCAGGGCACATACATTTTTAAGAACAACGATTTATAGCTAAAATGATAGCTTCAGAGCAATTCAACAATAGGTTTTCTAGAGGCTAGTCTCTATTAGGTTGTTTTTTTGACACAATTTGGAATAATCCATTTAGTGTTCACGCCTGCTACTACAATAAAGGTTACTTTGATGGTCCTTTTTCTCCTTTTAAACACAGCTGCTTTTGTTCCACATTCATTAACACATCTGAAAAGTTAGTGATAACTCACGGCTCGGCGAATGCGGGGCCTTTCTGACACTCCCTTGCAGATTGAAGTAGGCAGGCATAGATACATTGAACCTTTACAAATAAAACAAGGGGCCAGATTGTTCAGTTTGTATAGAATAGACTCTGCCAGCAATTCAATACAGCATCTAGAAGTACATGTTGACTGTAAAGATTCTTGTATATGAAAACAAAAGTGAACAAAATCAGGGTGTTTTATATATTTATATAAATATACTTTTTTTTTTCTTTTTACAATACTGACTTAAGTGTAACCCCAAAGTATATGACTGGCTGTAAGTAAATGTCCAAGGCTAGAGCTCTGCAAGTGGCACTTGGGCTAAATGGGGTTTTTGTTTGGAAAAAAAAAAAAAAATCTTTTAAAAGTCTTTTTCATGAAGACTGGTGAGTGCCTCAAGCTCATGTCAGAATGGCACTACGATAAGCTCACACCAGAATGTCAAAACTATAGAAGAGGTTTTTGGTTCCCAGCATTAAAAAAAAAAAAAAATTGTTTTAAATCTGCGCCCCAATTATGTTAAGGACTTTAAAGGTGAAAAATTTTTTTAAAGTAGGGGAAAAAAACCTTACATATCTAGGAGTCTCTCTGCTATAACTGAGCTTTTCAGCAATTTAACAGCAGTATCATTTCACTGTTTTGTTAAACTTACGGCTCCAGGGAATAAGCAAGGCTTAGAATAAAATTAAGATTTGTGGAAGTTTTACTATTTCATCTAATAAGGTGTCTGTTTTGTTTAAATAATTACATTAAATCTAGTATTAAGGTATAGGTGCCCTGAAGACACTCTACCAGGTAAAATATGAATATAGCAAACAGCAACCCTGGTGAGCTTTAAAAAAAAAAAAACAAAGCAAAACAAAACAAAAAGTCTCTATAAATGCTAAAAATCAATGCCTCACTGAAAACGAACAGGTATTCTATAAATATTTAAGATCTGTAACAAACACAACAAATATAGCTATCAAATATTAGTCACAGAATAAAATAAAACTAATAATTTGAGATACAAATACCCTCAGAGGGACTGGTAAGTGAGAACCTGTTTATTTTTATTTTCAACCTTCTGTTTAAGGGACTTTAAGATTAACATTTTTTAGATATTGCATGAATATGTAGTCAGTTTGGGGCTTATGCCATAGAAATATAACTTGGCTAACACCAACAAAGAATTTTTAAATAAAAATGCTGATAATTTTGGTTCCTCTCACAATATCTGGCCCAAACCATGTTTTTCAAAAGAAACTAGGTAAAGCAGCATCCGTTTTAAGAAAAATAAGAAAGACTACAAATAAGGAACAAATATGAATCAAATCTCCTTATAATACCAGGAGTTATTTTATGGGTTCAATACACTTCATCTTTGGATTTCCTAGGCATACAGTCATACAAAAATAACATAAACTGTGTGAGTAAATTCCCCCAGTAAATTCCCTCTCGTATTTAAAAATAATAATCAATAAATAAATGAGGGAAAAATACCCTGTCACATTGACATTGGATTAAAACCTATTAGCGACCCTATCCTCTGTGTTAAGCAATGGAACTACAAAGAGCTTAATACTAGCACTCTACTCCCAAGGAACCCATGATTTGTGCTAGAGAGATAGGATATATAACACCAAGTAGCATCATCCAAGTGCCACATGGTGTTTTGAACAGGTAGTGTCTTTAGGAATTTTAAGACCAGAATGACCATGAAGTTTTGGGAAGGTTGGGAAAGGCTTCGTGTAATAAGTGGAAGCCAAAATTTGAAATACAGATAGAACTCAGAGCAAAGGAAAGGAGAACAACATTCCAGACTGGAGTAATATATTTGACAAACCTTACAAAGGTATGATGGTTTGGGCAAATAAACCACAGTTGGCTTTGGCAAATGGCTTCAGGTATGGCAATAGCAAAGCTGGGGCCAGAATTCCATTTTAGGGGTAAAATTTTATGCCTGAAGTGTTTTTTATAAATTCAGATTTTTAGAGTGTAACGTTTCAAGATTTTTTTAAATGAAGCAGAGAATAGGTTGAGTCAACAACAACAAATTGCCCTACTTTTAAAAGCAAAGGGCTCTCTGTCCTATAACCTCCATAATAATTAGACTTTGTACATAACTAGAATGCCAAGAGTTTAGGATTGAGAATTTGATTTAGAACTTTGGCAGGTAAAGAAAATTTTCATCTGAATAGAAACACCAAAAGTTCTATTAACATTTCCTACCAAGAACTATCTTCAAAGTTACAACATTTTATCACTCTCTTCTGTTCAATTCCTTCATGGGTGTCATAGATTAAAACCTTTATTTGAGAATACTTGAGTCACAGGTATACAATAAAAAACTGGAATACATACTATTCCTCTTTCACCAGTGTAACAGAGCATAAGGTTGTTACTGAGGCAGTCAGTTTTACTCAGGGAATATGGACAAGCCACTCCGAAAGAGGGCTCCTCTGTTCAAACTGTACTCAATACTACTGTTCGCAAAATCCCCTTCGATCTACTGAGAGGGGAAAAATAACCCTATTGTACTTCCCAGCACTACCTTTTATTGTCTTCCTGCCTTTTCTGAAATGATGCATACTTAAATTTTAGTAGTACATAAAACCTTGGCCTAGGTGGTATCTGACATTGTACATAGTGCATGCTATTTTCCCAATACCCACCCCTCCCCCTCAATACCACCCACACTTTCCCTCCCATACAAACAATAAACCAAATCAACTTTCATAGGTGCTATTTTAAAAACATCAAAATTTTACTTTACCCATTCTCTCCGATGCTCCCTGTATTTTTTTAAGCTGTGAGTGGATGACCATGCTATGTGATCAACAACTGTGAAGGCTAAGCAAAATGAACTGAGTTTAGTATTGTAATTTCAAAAGAACCTTTAAGTTTGTAATATTTGACATATTTAATGGTATGCAGAATCCTATCTTACTGCATATTATCAGGCATTAATGGCAAGCAACTTATAAAAGCAGTCAATATTTCTTTTGTACAGAATTCTTAGCTTAGGAAAAACAAAGAGGAAGGAGAAAACGCAACAGCACACAAAGCAATGGAAGCATTCCCACTGCAGGGACAGGGAAGGGAAAAATCACTCCCACATTTTCTAATATGACAACTAAAAAAACCCTCCCCATAGGAAGACTTGTCAAGGGCCATGTCACGGTTGGCTAAGACAGGGCAGGCTCCTTTACCCCGAAGTAATATCCAAACCCCTTTAGAAACAGGAAAGCTAGAGCTAAAAAGAGAATTGTAGAGTGGAAAACTTAAAGCTTGTTTCCTTGAGCCCTTGAGTACCTAACTACAGAAACATGCTTTTCTCTCTTATGACCATTTCTTCCAATAAAAGCTGCGGAGCCCACTCAATAATGTGAGACTACATAAAGACTCATGAGTTTCTAATCTACCCCAGGCCAGAGACACCTTAAGCAGTACACAAGTAAACCCTTGGAT